AAAGGATAAGCTTATTATATCCGGTATGGATAATCTTCTACCGGGGGTAATATTTATCCATAAATGGGTACCAAAGTGATAAGCTTCTTCAGGAAGTTTATTTCCAATAGAGTACTAAATAGATAAACATATTTACGGTGGAGCCCCATATGGATAAGTTTCTTCAAGAAGCTTATTTACAACGGAGTACTAAATGAACATTCATAATATAATATATTTATAACACAAAAGGTCTTTATAGAACACATGATGATTGACGAGAAAAAATATAAGTACACACGGACGAAATTAGAATCTCAAGGTTTATTAACATTAAAAAAATTCAACAAACAACTTAACAACAAATAGCCTAAATTCGAGACCACACATTTAAAACCGCAATCATAAAGTAAAACCAATACGACGTAGTTGTGACATAATATGCTTGTCTTTCTTTTCAAGCATTTGTTGTTTCCGAAAAATCCCTTTCCAAAGAATTAACCCAAATAGCTATCCACCCTACCACTTAAACTAATAGTAGTCGGTGAATGCTATAGTAGTCGTTTATATATTATATACGTATAGTTGTGTATAATTAATATATAATCTGTGTATATGACTAAAAAAAGTAAACAATTAATATGACCGGCTATTTGTGTAAAAATACACTGTCCAATTATGTGCCAGGGTCATTGGGCTTTTATTTCATACTCACTAGTGGAAATGGGCCAATGAGTTGAACACTTGAACTTATGGGGCATTTGCATCTATACCAATTTTTTGTATCACGTTTAACTTGTGCCCGCGTTGCAAAAAAAAATTTGCAAGCGTACCCGCTTTTTCGCATAACTTCAGCATTCTAGTAGTTGGGCCTGAAGTTCAGCTCTAGAGTTGAAGTTTTTGTTTTGTAACTGTCGAACTTCAGCTCTAGAGCTGAAGTTTTTGTTTGTAAGCTTCAACTCTAGAGCTGAAGTTTTTGTTTTTTAACTATCGAACTTCAGCTTTATAGCTGAAGTTTTTGTTTGTAAGCTAGAGTTGAAGTTTTTATTTTGTAACTGTCAAATTTCAGCTCTAGAGCTGAAGTTTTTGTTTTGTAACTGTCGAACTTCAGCTCTAGAGCTGAAGTTTTTGTTTGTAACTGGCGAACTTCAGCTCTAGAGCTGAAGTTTTTTCTGAAAAAATAAGCTTTTTATGTTATCATCTGCTTTAAATGCAGCAACCTCATTTCGTCTAACTCACACTCAGCTTTGCTCAGCCATTTTTATTGCTAAGCAACTGATATTCGAAAATACAAAACAATTAGGAAATCCTTATGAGGATTTATCTTTATGATATGTTGGAGTCGAAGTCTGGCTTATAGATTCAATTACAACTTTAAAATAAGAGAATGACAACGATAAATGATAATGGTGTGTAATGCAGTAAAAGAGAAGCAACACAGAAAAAGCATTCCACTTTGAAATGAAAACAACAAAGACTCAGACTACCAAGAACAGTAATGATCCCTAAGATGACATATTCAAAAGATTCAGTAGCTCCACCACACTGTAGAATCTCAGACAACCACCAAGGAACTTGCATTCACAGGTTATATACATAGCCGTAACAGATTTCTTGCAGAAAAGGGAGAAGGAGAAGTTTGAGAAAGAAGAGGCGGATATAACTTTGAGGAGGAGAAGGAGGAGGAGAAAGGGGGCTGAAGTTGTTTAAAAAATGGGTACAAGTTAAAAGTTTTAAAAAAATGGGTATAGATTAAATGGTATTTGGTCGCCCGTGCAATTTTTACGAACTTATGCCAGGGTCGTTGGGCTTTTCTATCTAGGGTTTTACTCTTGGGCTTCTAAGAAGAAGCTCGTTTCCAGTACTTGGCTGTTCGGTTATCTAACGTACCTCGCATATATTTCAACTATTTTAGTTGTTCTTTTTCCTTTTCTTTTTTGTAGGATGCTTATACAGTCAACACCCTGTACCTAAGTGGCCTTATTGGTCCACTATGCGTTCAATACTCACTAATCGCCAAACAAGCAATGGTGTTTTAGATTGTACGGAAAAGAACCACTGGCAGCAGCATCATTTCTAGTTTTAAACAAATTTATACAGTGGGAAACTAAGTTTACCTCCATATTTTACTATAAATAATACAAAAAATAGCACAACTTGAAGCATTAGTCTGCTTTACCAACCCCTGGGTACAGAATTCCTACAAGTATAGCCGTTCACTTCCTTAAGATAACAAGAGCTGTGATCATGGTGAGAATGAAACTTAACAACACTCTAAGACCAACGTGTAGTTTGGTCTTCCTGTCGAGGATTTTCAAGCTAACTATTTCAGGTTAGATTGAGGTTGGAAGTTCTGCAATACAAAACTTAATCTTCCTTGTCTTGTTTGTCTCCAGAACGAAGTGGTTGTCTGTCTTCCGGCTGAGAGGTGGAGCTGCTCGGATAATCTCCCTCATCTCTTGTACCAACCCTTAAGGGCTCCTCTTTTAAAGATTGGATGATCATCACCACTGCGACCACAAACACTATGATTGTTACTGTTCCAACTCCGATCATTGAGTTCACGAATCCCATGAAAGAAGCAGAGCTAATACGTTTCTGAATAACATTTCCATCTTTGTATCCTTGAATAAATTGTGTAATTTGGGACCCCTGATCTTCATCTTCAATACTGTCCGAGCCAACAACCTGTTGCATGAGTACTATTTTTAATTTTACTGATTTAGTCAAAAGGGACTTGTTCTAGATTATGTGTAACTACTTGTTCACTCCCGATCAGTCACTGAAAATTAGAAGTATGTAGCCTGCATAGATATTATTCAAAAAAAGCATCTCACAGACTCGGATTAAAAACGTGATAAAATTTCATCCACTGAAATGATGCCATTTAAAATGTATGCTCAAGTACTGTTTATCCCTGTTGCTTATTTCAGTCAGCGCATTAAGCAAAAATGATTAAGAGTCCATGGTTCACTTTAGTCCATAAGTTGAAGGCATTATATTTTAGCCGTGTTGTACTAGCAGGAAGTCCAGACTCCAAACATAAAGCACGTTAACCTAAATTATATTTCCTACACTTGATAAGGGTCCACAAACATGCAATGCCTAGAGTGGACATGGATAATACTCAAGTTCATACTGCCACTTCCTCTTTGGCTTCACCATAATGCATCTCTCTATTTGCAGGATTCTTTTTGAAGAATAATATATTTCCCAAAGCCAATGCCAATAGATTGTTTCAACTCGCTAACTAATTAGGAAGCCAGGTAAGTCTACATCTAAGAGTTACTCGTACTCAGGCATCAAGGAAACATAAGTGCACACAAAAGATGTAATAACAGAGTCTAGAAAAAGATCATATCCAGTTAGCTCAGCATACAAGGACTCGAAGAATTAAGAGGGATCTCAAATCAATTTATGGCCTTGGAAACACATTTGGAAAGTAAAGATACCATACATAGTCGCATGATTTACTTGGCTGGTGGCCAATGAAGCAGTGCTCACTCAGGAAAATTTAAGGAAAAGAGGACTGCCAATTTGCTCAAGATGTTATCTGTGTGGACAAGATGCAGAGACAATTAGCAATCTGTTTCTACATTGTAGAGTAACGAGCCAATTGTGGGAGTTATTCGGTTGAGTTGATTTGGGTGTTGATTGTTGTTGTGGGGTCTTATAAATCTGTTCATCAATCTCAGGGGTATTAGATGGACAATGCCAGGAAGACCTTATGAACTTTTGTCTAGTTGGAAAACTGGGGGAAGCGCTACATCCAACAAAGACAGATGGAAAATTGTCCTGGCAGCTATTTGGTGGACTGTTTGGAAAGAGAGGAATTCTAGATGCTTTGAAGATACAAGTAGCTCTACATAGAAGATTGAAATGAATTGTATTCTTCTGTTTAGTTTTTGGTGTAAACAAGAATATATAGATGGTCAGGTTTCAATCTTAGAAGTTTGTAAGAAGAACAAGGATTTTTGGTTTCTGCTTTTTGTTTCAGCATTTCAAGATGTAAATTTGGGTTTCCAGTACAAACTCTGTGCTGATGATTTGATTAATATATTGGATACATTTCCTTCTCCAAAAAAAAAAAAAAAGATCATATCCACAGTTTTAACCACTTGACATAGCTCTACAATATTTGTGCGACTGAAATTTTTGGGTGGTAATTTTTTAACTATGAGAGACTGAAGACAGAGAGAGGACATTTCTAAGATTTAAAGAGAAACAGGAAAACATGCTTGCCACTAAGTCAACTATTCAAAAGCCTAACATGAAAAGGGAGGAAAAAAAAGTAATTGAACTTACTGAAAAGTACTCCTCATCTCCGTCCCAAACAACCATTTTTGGCAGTTTAGTTTTCTTAGAAACTTCAAATGATTCAGCAAACTCTTGCCATTGCTTGAACCCAACAAAAACAAACATGAAGTCGCGGTTTGCAGATGCAGCAGCTTTCAGGAGTTTCACTAATCCCTTAGACCTCTCATCAGTTTCATCTTCCAAAATCGTCAGAATAACTTTCCTCTCATCATCTTTCAGCAACCTCAGAGTTTCTTCAGTAATGGGCAAAGCCAGCGGGAGCAAACTCTGCTTGATATAATCCTCAAGGAATTTTTCTGTGATCCATAGCAGGAAGAAGGTTCAGATATTCACCATTATTTCATAAAAATCTTCAAGAAACAAATTCAGCTGCAGATTCTTAAATCATCCTTTTTAAAGGCACTATAACTAGCAGTAGGTTTTTGGACACACTGAAATTTAAGAACTTACTGCTGTCTCCCAGCAATTTTTCATGGCACTATATGCTTGATCCACATTGTTTAAGTACATAGCAGGACCTGGAGAGTGACTAATACATTATTGTTGACATCTGCTTTAAAGTGACACCATAAGGGCCAATGCCTTGAACAAAAGCAAGTTTTTAAAACACAGTGCAGGTGCTATTGTTATTATGTGTCTAAATATGGCAAGATTCTTGTTTGCGCAGTTGCTTCCCAAGGGATGAACAAGTGTTAATTGTTATTTGTTTCTAGAAGGATGAGATACTATCTTCATAAGCAGGGTGAGATTTTAATTAATTCCAAAGCCTAATATGACAGTTGATGAAAAGCTAACCTTCAAAGGGGCCATAGAAGATGCTTTGCTCATCATAGTTTGGATGACGAGCTACCAAAGCAGGTATTTTGTCAAAATCATAGAACTCCATGGTTTTATCCGAGAAATCTTTTGCCACAGAAAACCATGCTCTTTTCTTGTATTTTACTGCAAAATGTGATATAGCAGATTCATTCAAACCAAAGCCTATGAATATAGGAAAGCTAGTGCCGGCTGCTTCAACAAATTCACTAATAGCTGAGTCAGAATTCAGTATTGCCACATCAGGAGCAACAAACTTCTTCAAGAATCGTACAAGTAAATCTGCTTTTCTTGGTCCATAGTAATCTGTTGGAACTCCATGCATAAATATCTTCAAAGTTGGATATCCACTGCATTGAGACCAAAAGAAAAAAAGAGAGAAACAAAGAAAAAAGAATTACTTCAATATCTTCTTATAAAATAATAATAATAATAATAATAATAATAATAATAATAATAATAATAATAATAAGTACTTCAGTATCTTTTAATTCCATAAGCAAGGAAGGAACTGATCTAATTTCCGTAAAGCATGTGCATTCCTGCAGCTCAGCATAGTTTTTATTTATTTGTTCAAGGGAGAGCAAAGAGCATCTAATAAGTCTTCCATTGGAAGCTTTTCAGTTTCCACACTCTCGCGGAAAAACAAAATTGAATTGCGCAACAGCTGAACTCTCGGGATAATACAGCCTCATTTAAAATAATGACGGTTCAGAAAGTACATCAGAACCCAATTTCAAAATTTCCCAATTAAAAAACTCGATCCCGTTACGACTTGTCTTATCTTTTGTCCATCAGTTTTAACTCTCCTGATTACACCCTCCCCCCTATATGTCACCTGGCTACTCCGCCTCTCCAACAGACTTGACAAAGGATACTTCCTACTCCAGCTTATAACATGAGTCCCCAAAAATAACCACAGAAGTATCAGCACTATATAAGCACGAGAGACAACAACAACAACAACAACAACAACCTAGTAAAATTCCACAAGTGGGGTCTAGGGAGGGTAGTGTGTACGCAGACCTTACCCCTACCTCGAAGGGGTAGAGAGGCTGTTTCCAAAAGACCCTCGGCTCAAGATAATAAAAAGACAAAAAGAGAGAATATTAGATTCACCACGGAAATCATAGGAAAAATTGGAACATAAAATACAGGGAAAAAAAATGCAAAGCAAAAACGATGGCTAGTAAATGGATCCTGCGTCGAAAATAGAAAATAGTAAGACACGACATTGCCCCTAGCTATCTTAGACAAAACCCTACCGGACTAGGCTCACAAAGGTACAAAGTAACGCAAGACTCAACTACCTCCTAGCCTACAACCGTAATACTCGACCTCCACAACTTCCTATCAAGTGTCATGTCCTCGGAAATCTGAAACTTCGCCATATCCTGCATGATCACCTCTCTCCAATACTTCTCAGGCCGCCCTCTACCTCTTCTCGTGCCTTCCACAACCAGCCGCTCACACCTCCTTACTGTNAGCTGCCTCTACTTGGGATAACCTGTGACTCAAGCCTCACATCCACGTCCACTTCCCCCGGCTCAGCGTTGAACTTACACTCGAGGTATTCCGTCTTCGTTCTGCTTAGCTTGAAACCCTTAGACTCCAGGGTCTGTCTCCAAACTTCCAATCTCTCGTTAACACCGGCCCGTAACTCATTAATCAGAACTATGATGAGTCACAGAAAGAGGAAAGAACAATATAGATGAAGATCCTAGACTGAGAGAGGACAGAAACAAAGGAGACCATATTATAATCAGAGGTAGAACTAATGGAGGTTCAAGGGAAAGGAAAGACAAAAGAGGACATGGCAGAATGTACTGACATGGAAGATAGATGTGGCAGGGCCCTCAATAAGCTTTCAGCATCTAGCCTTTTTTGCTTATCAACTTCAGTGTCTTGTAACTCCTCTACTTCCAAACACATATTATCTGCTTTTTATGCATGTGCATACGTAAAAAATTGCCCATATGGTACATTTAAGATAGTAAAAACAAAATCCAAGTTTTAAAGCAAACTGTTGTGATCACTATCACTTCAGGAAGGAATGGTTAATTGGCTGGGAAATCCGGAATCAGCCTCTTAGATCTGTGGCCTGCACTGCACTACTGAGTTTGACATCTATTTTGATTATGAATATCACTAAATGATAGCCCTCGAAGAATGATAAGAAAAATGTCTTATCGAATTAATGAATAACTACTCTTCTTCTCAGTTCTTGCAAACCTGATTAAACAGATGCAGTTCATACATTGTAAAACTAATATCAAAAAATGATTTAATGATATAAGGTCAAGGCACACGTACTCGATGTCATATTTTGAACCAACACGTTTGTATTTGTCAGCATCTATTTTTGCAATAACTAGGGGCTGCTTCAATTCAGCAAGAATGCGAGCAGTTTTGTCCAACTGCAAAGAACTTAAACTTTGTCAGATTGCTAGAGGTCAAAATTCCAAAAATTCAGAAAAATCACATGAAATCACACAAAATTCCAACTGCAAAGAACTTAAACTTAAGTTAACCCAAGTTATCCTGGAAGTCTGGAAGACAATGCTGTTCGCATTCTATACTTCTAGCAGAGTACACAATAAAGAGGTTCTTTTCTTGAGAAGAGAAGCAAATATTGAAGGCAATATTAAATGCAAAAAAAAAAAAAAAAAAAAAAAAAAAATTGG